GATCTTAATTTTATATGCATATATAAATACTATAAGGTTTTGGCTTTTGTTATATAATTGAGAACAAATGTGAACTCAGACCATATCATATGGTGAGGGATCTACTGCTTATTAATAATGATATGAAAATGACAAAGATCCTAACAGCAGGGCTTTAGTCAACTTTGGTCTTGGCCTATCTATTTTCCATCTGTACAACAAGGAAGATAATATATGGCATAGAGTTCACTCACAGATTTATAGATACTAAGGGGATGATAATAGCTGACACTTATGCATACTTTAAAGTTTATGAAGATATATATATATATATATATACATACATACATATATATATATATATATATATTTGTTATGTATGTATACCTCATTTGACCTTTGTAAGTGCCATTGTTATCATTATTTTCTAAATGAGGAAATAGAATTGGAGAGGCTCTGCTATATGCATTACCACCTGCAGATGTAAAATTAGAAAAACTGGGTTTAAATTTCTACTCACCTCTTACTAAGGCAAGTGTCATCTGAGGTAATTAATTTAAACTATCTAAGCTGAAGTTTCACCATTTGTAAAATATGTATTATAACGTTTCGTTGTTTTTTTTTACAAGGTTGTTGTAAAGCAAAGTACTCTGTGAATCATAAAATACATAGAGCCATAATGGAGGAGCATGCACAGATTGTCTTGGGATAGTGTCCCTCTACACAGGGAGGCTAGGGAGCTTGCTTTAGGGAAAATCACAATGATGGGTAAGGGAAGTGCCTTGGAAAGACCATGGAGACATTCTACAACTGGTTCTAATTGGCTAACCACATGGTAAAAAGGAGGCTTTTTAATTGGCTATGGAAGTATTTAAAAGGTCATGTTTGGCTTCTGCCACCCTTCTAAGCCTCATTCACTTCTGGAGTTTTTGGTGATTTTTTCACTCCTGGTCTCTGGTGAAAAGCCATGCTGAAAGCATGAAACCACCCCTCAGAGGTCATGTGACCTTGAGAAACAGGCCTCTGTCCTTGGCCTTTTTGTTTTTTCCATTATAGGTGAAGGGAGAGTCCTGTAAGTTGGGAATTTTGAAGGGTTGAGTGAGAGAGCCACAGAAATCTGGGAGTCAGAGTCCAGGCCAGGTTTTGCAACTGGCACAGGAATGATGCTCAAAGAAGCAACTTTTGAAAATGACATTTGAGACCTCAATCAGGTGGTAACTGAGACTCAATCTCATCTGGCAGTCATGCCACATCTAAACACGAACTTTATTGGACCAGTGCTGTGTAGGAACTGAGGTAAATTGAGACTACTTTCCCCCCAGAGACCAAGGTGGTATGGGGTATAATTTGCCTCAGGTATTGCAGAAAAAATTTTTTAACTTTGTTCTTGCTATATCTTTGAAGTGAATATCATCTTTAAAATATTAATCAATGCTAAATGATTACATAGAATTAAGAAGCTAGTTGCAAGCACCTAACAGTGGGGATTAGGGGGAGAGACACAACCATGCAGGGTCTCTAGCAGATGAGGTAGAGAAAAGAGAATCCCCCCCCTATCCCTCAGGATACCCTAGAACCCCGAAGGGCAGATTTAGCAGCCTGATTGCTGTAATAATGAGCCAGAGTGTGCATGTTACATAAGCATTAGATAGCATTGACTAGAAAGCAATCAATCATCCCTGAGCCTGAGCCCTGTTTGCACAAGACTGGAAAACTCATTCCCCTACCTCTGTATGAGAATGGGTTCCCTAGCAGCTAACTACTCTTCTGGGGTATAACTTTCCTTTGAAGAGCAAAAGCAAGCATTTATTAAGCACTTATTATGTGCCAAGTACTTTGTTATGTGCTGAAGATACAAAGAAAGGCAAAAACAGTCCCTGCCCTCAAAAATCTCACATTGTAATGAGGGAGACAACATGTAAATAAGTAATTAACACACAAGACATATTACAGAGCAGTTGGAAAGTAGTCTCAGAGAAGGCACTACTAGCAACTTGAAGGATTAAGAAATGCCTTCTGCCAAAGGTTAGTCTTAAAGGAAGCCAGGGGAGCTGAAAGATAGGATGAGGGGGCAAAGTATTCTAGGAATGGAGCAGAGCCAGAGCAAAGCCATGGATGGAGATAGCAAATGGATTGTCTTGTCCAAGGAGTGCAAAGTAAGCCAGTATAGTTAGACTACCGAATATGTAGAAAACAGTAAGGTATAAGAAGACAAAAGAAGGACGAAGGGGCCAGTTTATGAAGAGCATTAAGTGCCAGATAGAAGAGATTATATTTTATCTTGGAGGTAATAGAAAGCCACTGGATCTCAGTGGGGGTGGGGCTATTGAAATTCATCTAGTACTCATTGCTTTCCAAAGGAAAGGAAAAAATGGTTGCCAATTTTTCTTTGAACACAGTCTCTGGGGTGGACGGATTAAACTAGAAGCATCTTCCAAGTGATATTTTCTTCCCCGTGGTTATTTTATTTTTCTCCTTCTGGGCAATTTTAAAGAAACTCAGGGAACTCCTATCTATTAAATATATGGCCACAAAACCCCATTTCCTCAGACCTACAAATACTAATCAATTCTAAACCTTTTCTCACAACAAAACAGATTCAAAGCCTATCTGTCTAAGCACCCATGAGAGTTTTCCTCTCTCTCACTCTGTAGATGCCACTACAAAACAGCAGGATTCAACTCTTTCCCAATGAGCTTACAGCAACTGCTCCAGCCTTTCTCCAATCAGCAATGAATACTTTTGTCAATTATAACTTTTTAAAATCTAAAAACATCCACATGCAAATGAATTGATAAACCACATTTCCCTGAAGCCATCATTATCTCAGTCATTGCTCTGCCTTCAGTTCATCTGAGGGGCTACTCTCTATCTAGTCCTCATAACAGGTATTTTTCCCTTAAAATTTTTTTCTGTGAGACTGTATCTCTTAAAGTGAGTTTTCCTTATACAAATGTTCTTTTACTCTCACCTCTCTTTTTCATTTCTATCCCCCTTCAGAGGGATCTCTCATTCCCTCTTTCCACTATCACAAACTGATCTTTTATTGCTATTTTGTTGAGAAAGATTTAATAAATTAATTCATGCTTAAGTTTAAATGATAGTAAATAGATTAATGTGTTGTACATCCCTGAATTATTTGCATTTTAATAAGAAGCAATACATTCAAAGAATCAAGTTCTACTTCTGGAGTTTCAGGTAGAGTCAGGATTCAGAAGTTCCTCAACTGCAAATTTAAGATTTTCTACTATAACGTTCTGACTCTGAGTTTTAAAAATAGAATAACTACAATTAAGGAAATGTGGATGGAACACAAATTAAATTTATTTTCAAAAATTAATGATTAGTATCCAAGTTATTTGGAAAAACAACATTCAACAGAGTTTTCCAGAGAATTATGCCAAAACAAGCCAGTTGAACCTGAGCTTCTTAAGCTAAACTGAGTAGATGGATGGATGCCCTCTCTATCTCCTTATAAGCGTGACAGAAAAGCAATTTAATGAGGAGGTCTCATTAAAGATCTCAGTGTCTTAGGGCCTTAGGTAGGAGCAGAATCAAAGTAATTGATACATAATTGGTCTGTATCCAGGACCTATTTGGTCATCCATTCAGCATAGAATCACTGAATTTAGAGTCAGCTGAGTGGTGGGTTCAAATCCCAGCTCTGCCTTTATTGGCTATGTGACCTTGGGTAAGCCATTTAACCAGTGTATCAATTTCTTTATCTATAAAACATAGATAATAATATCTGTACTGCCTATCTTACTGGGTTTAAGGATCAAGTGAAATAATGTATGTAAAGTCTTTTATAAATTCTAAAGTGTTATATAAATGTCAGATATTTAGATCATCTTTTATCATAAATAAAAACAATCACCCCAGACAGATTTTTAAAAATTATGCACAGAATGAACTTTGTAATTTCATCCTGGATTATTCTTTTATATTTTTCAATATATTCCTACATATAACAACATTTAGGAAACCCAAGCAGTTATATGTTTATATGATAGTAATGGTTTACATGAACTTTTCAAATTCAAAATGAAAGTACAACAAAAATATGTAAAACATTTCAGATTGCAAAATCCTTAAATTTTGAAATAAGTAGAGAACTTAACCATCAATTTATCAGTTATGAATGCCCACTATTTTAGTTAGTTCTTTCTGTAGAGTTGGGCTCCCTTAAATATGGCCACAACTTTGCTTCTTCTTATCATGGATCTCTTCATTTTATAGGAGGCTTTAATAGAAGCTGTTCCTCCCCTACCCCCATTAGTAATTTACAACCAAGTAACCAGCATCATAATACCATACATTATAAGCACCAAATGAATTATTATAAGATTTGGAGAATTTTTAAAAATAGGAACTTGTCAAGAAAAAGATTCCCTGAAGCTATGTTTCCTCCAGTTATTGAGCTGGAATAAATTCATCCAGTTGCTTTTAGTGAAAATTAGGCTTAGAGCTCAATCCCTGTAGATAACTCATTGCAGTATAGTAGAAAGAACCTTTTATTTACAGAGTATGTAGGTTCATACTTCATATCACTTATTGCTACCTGTTTCATCTTGGGGAAGTCACTTAATAACTCTGATTCTCAATGTTCTAACCTAGAAAAGAAGTAGGTTAGACTAGATGATCTGTGCCAACTTTAAAACTTTAAATCCTATGAATCCATTATACATGTTGGAAAAGCAGATTAATAAGCAGAAGTGTTTTCTTCACAGCTAAAGGAAGATAGATGAATGTATTCATCAGATTTTACTGGTAAGACGTTTTCAGGTTTAATGTCACATTCATTACCTTATTAGTATCACGATGATAGTAAAGAAGGGATTCACAGCATTTCCACTTTTCAACAAATACAAAAGGAGACTTTATTATTAATGATGGTAACCTGAATATTTGGAAATGATTTAGGATTAGGGGCTTTTGTCCATAAACAAAGGCAAAATTGTCTTTTCTATAATGCTCTTACCTATAACTAAAAGGAAATCTTTTATTTTCATTCCTAACAGGTTGTTTGGGTTTTATAAAGGAATTCTCCCACCTATCTTGGTTGAAACACCAAAAAGAGCAGTGAAGGTAAGCATTATATGCCTTACCATTGGAAAACAAGTTCCATAACAATAAAGACAGTTATGGCATCAGAATATTTTATAGTATTTCTCAACATTCTGTGTATGGGTAAAATGAATTATTTTCAAGGCCCTGAAATTAACACTGATGGTCTGTAGCAGACTTTGAATTGTAATTCTTCTCTTTCTCAAGTATATTTAGCAGTTCTCAGGTTCTTTATTTCTCCAACTAATTATATTGCCTTGCTAATAAGTAGCAATACAAGGCAGCAGCTTAGATATTATATTTCCAATATTCCTTTTGGATAATTTTCCTCCAAATATACCTCCACACAGCCTATCCCTTGGATTAAACTTGAATCAGCACCTAACTATTTCTCCCAAGTCAACCATCATTTGGGAAGCACTTACTATGTGTCAGTCACTGTGCTAATTGCCAGGGACCCTGAGGTTTTGTGATATACATTATACTATTCATATCAGAAAACAAAGTAAATGAAACTGGCAGTCAGGTCATTAACTTGGTTCAACATTATATTTGTTGTATCATCTTTGGAAATTTGTGTAGTAATTTTAATGATCCTCAAACTCTCACTGCTGGAAAAGACCATTTCTTTAATAGTAATATTCTCTGTGTAATGCCATATGGCTACAAATCATGGAATACCATGATCTTGGAAGAATCAAATTTATAAATATTTCAAAAGCAATGGGAAGACACATTTTCTGCAAACCTTTCCTTCATCTGAACTTTCCTAGTGCTGTAAAGGGCAACATCATATCCCCAGTCACCCTGGCTCACAACAACAGTGATATCCTCAATGCATTTTTACTTATTCTTCATATTTAATTAATTGCAATTTCTACCACTACAACATCTCTCACGTACATCCCCTTACCACCGTTTATCCTATTCAGACATGTGTTACAAAAAAGCCCACTGAATTTATCTCAGCGATAAAAGGAATGGTTCAATATTAGGAAATAACCAATATTATTCATCATATTGAAAGCAATATTATATAATTACGTCAATAAATAGAGGAAAAGAGTAGTAGTCATTTATACTAAAAATACCTTCCAATTCTTTCCTTACAGATTTTATTTCTACATTTTAACCTCTCATTCTATCTTTACTTTTTATTTTATTCTATCTTTATTCTATCATTATTTTAATGAATTTATTTTATAAGTATTTATTAGCTCTCCCTTCCACTCACTGCTTCCCTCTTCCCCTCCACACACCTACAGAACGATAAATAAATCTCTCACAATAAATCACTATAACCCAGAAAAACAAATTCCCACATTGACTTTGTCCAAATATGCATTTACATTCTGGATATTAAGCCATTTTTTATCCCAAACATTTAGCACAGTGTTTAACACATGGTGAGCACTTAAAAATGCTTGTTTATCCATCATCTATAAATTCACTTATTCTGGCTCCAAATGTATGATCACCTAGTTTGTTGTCATTTTAAAAATTGTTGATTATTTTATGGGACTAATTTTGTGTTCTCTACTGAAGCTTTTTTTTTCTAGTTTATTTCTGTATTGATTCTCTGGGATTTTCTAGGGAAACCATCATGTCATCTAAAAATAGGAATAATTTTGTCTCCTCTTTGCTGATATTTATGCCTTTAGATTCTTTCTATTGTCCCATTGTTGTTCCAAGTATTTTTAGGATTATGTCAAGTAATAACAGGAAGAAGCAATATCCCATATAGCTACTGGTAAAGTTACTAGTATTTCTGAATTGTAAATAATACTAGCTTTTGGTTCTTATTACATACATCATATGAGAAAACAGGATCCTGTCATAGCTAAAATACAGAACTTCCAGTAGAAAGAAAAGAATACACGAGCAGTCAGCAAGAGTATAAGCAACAAGTAGCCCCAGTCAGTATCATGCAATATTTGGCATCTGTGACTAGAAAAGAGAGGAATTCTTGGAATACAATATTCCAAAAGAGTTAATAAAGGGTTGCAAGTAAGTACGTAAAGCAAGTAAAATAAGAGCATTACTGAAAAGGCAATTCTGCCTTTGTTTATGGGCAAAAGCCCCTAAGTAAATAAAGGGTTACCATGCTAAACTGAAGATAATTATACTGGGGAAAATAAATCTTTAATGGAAAAGAGGACTTTTGTACATTCCTAGTGAAAAGACTAGAGCTTAGTAGAAATATTTTTTTTAAAGAGGGAATATCTTTGAAGTACCATATTTCTAAATATATTACCAAAACATAACCATCAAAACTAGAGTTAAAATGGAAAAAAATTGATCAATGAAATAGATTAGGTATACATCATACAGAGATGACTGAAAAATAGTAGCATAATGTTAATAAATAATAATAAATCAAAAGACCCCAACTACTCAAGTATGAACTCAATGTTTGATTTAAAAAACTTTAAAGCAGTCTGTAAGAAATCAAGTTTTTAAAACATCTCACATTATATAGCATCTAAATGAACATGTGAGCTAGATATATAATATATTGTCATATTGTGTATATAATATGTAATTTTATATATACACACACACATATATAGCAGAACTATTTAGAGAAGAAGGAAGAAAATAACTTTTACAACTATGGGTAGCAGAAGAGTTCTTGACCAAACAAGAGATAGGAAGGATCACAGTAGGTAAAATGGACACTTGTGATTAAATAAAATTAGAAATATTTTAGATTAACAGAAACAATGCAGTTAACATTAGAAGAAAAACCACTAACTGGGGAAAAAATCTTTGGCAGCAATTTCTCTGATAAAAGTATGATATCTAAGATATTTTGTCCAGATACATTGCCAAGGTGAGACCATGTCTTAATCAATCAAAGACTTTATAGTATGTGGAAAAAGTCCTTGAAATTCATTAAATGAGCTGGAATGATGCCAACAAAAAGTCTCCTCCAATTGGTTGAGGACTTGGTTATGCTGTGGGAAGCTTATATAAACCAGGAACTAGTTCAAAACTAATCAAGAGATTAGAGTGAGTGTTGAGCTGGAATAGGGCAATTCTATCTAAGTCCTGGGGAAGGAATCACTTGGAGGAAAGGAAAGCAGCTTGGCTTCAGCTTTATTCTCTTCTTCTTCCCCCCTTTACTGGGTACAAACCTAACAAACTTTGAAGAACAAAAGGATTTGGAATTTTTCATCATTATACTAAAAGAGTTTTCCAGATATCAGCAGTTGACAGCAATGTCAATGGGGAGCTAAAAACAGACTGAATTCAATGAAGAAAAGCATAATTAATGCTCCACTAGGAGCCCACAAGAAAAGCTACAGTGGCAGAGAAAGAAAGAAAAGGATGAACTCTCTAAGTCATACACATCTAATTTAATGTAATAATCTGAACAGTAAACATTCTTCTTCTTTATTTCCCTCTCCATGGAGGCCAAAGTATTTTGAGTAGTTATCCCAAGAGTCTTATTCTGTCACTTAAAAGCCTAAGAAACAGCTTAATTAACAAACACTTGACTTAATTGAGAAATAGAGAAATAACACAGCTAGTTTAGAATGTGAAATCATTTATAAAATCTTTTAGGGATGAAGACATAATATTATCAGTTTCACCTCATAAAAAAAGAGAAGCAGAAGATAGTAAAACCAGTTTAAAGAAAGTTTGACAAGATGACAGACTGGACATTTTCTCCAGTACCCATTAACTCTCAAACTTCTTTCTTCAAAATATAAAAATAGAAATCATGTACAAGATATAGAATGATTCCATCTGAATCCACAGGGGAGAGAGAGAGAGGGAGAGAGACAGACAGACAGACAGAGAGAGGCAGCAAGACAGAGAGAGACAGAGAAAGAGAGACAGAGACACACACACACAGACAGAGACAGAGACAGAGAATTCTGGTACATTAAAAAAATCACTTGATTTTTTAGAATGATAGTCTTTAAAGTGTGTACTAAGTACCATGCTTTATGCTCTTATCATGGAAGGGCCCATATTAACATCCCATTCTGCTACAAAGACTTTGAAAGCAATCCCATCCACTACATGACCCCATTACATAAGTGGCAGACCAGTCACAGGAAGGAAGGGTGTATCAAAGTATTCTTCATTCTTCCTTGGGATTCCCCTTAGATAGACCTCCCCCCACTCCCACTGGACTGAAGAGATCCTAAAACACCCCTTATACTCTCCCAACCCTGAAAAAAGCAGTATAGCCAGAGAAGGAGAAAGATCAAAGCAGGAACTTCCTTAGGGGGTTAGTGTACATGACTCCCTAAGGACTAGAGGAAATTGGAATTAATTATGCCCTTCCAAGAACAGTTTTGTTCCCCCTATGCTATTCAGGGCATGGATATAGGCCAGTGAGCCCTAAATCTCCCAAAATTTTGAAGCCCAACCTTGGGAGTTGGTGGTGAACTGTTCCTCTATCTTTGGTTTTTAGAGGTAATTCCTTCCTTGTTTCTCTAACTGAAGTGGAATTTTGGTCTGGGAATTTTCAAGGATGATGAAAAGGGATAAAAGGGGAGTGATAGACACCTTCCAAAAACAATGGAAGATTTCATTTGATCATGCTTTCAGAGCTGAAGAGGAGGGAAAGGGAGTACATGTAAGGGAAGATAGGTAAGATAGAAAAATAAATATATTTTTGATTGATTAAAAAGACAGCCAGGGAGTAGGGAGTGAAAGGAAATATAACTTGAGTTTGCCTAAAATAGTGGTCTAGCTGAAGCACTCACCAATCAAGAGAATACAGGTTTATAAAACCATAGATTTAGAACTACAAGGGACCTCAGAGGCTATGTAATCCAACTCTCATTTTAGACTTAAAGAAATTGAGTGCCAGTGAGTTTAAATGACAATAATTTTCTGAGGCTGCATTTGAATCTAGAACTTCTGTTTGGGACATGGTTTTTGGTTTGGGCAACAAGGTGGGGGGGTGAAAAGATCAACAGAAATAGATAATGAACTGAAGTATGGCTAAAATATGCCTCTAACAAGGGGCCAAGAATCATACTCACTAATGAGGATAGCAA